ATTTTCTCTTCCAGGGGTTGTCACATACAAGGGCATGAGATTGCGGCCCAGTGCCGGGCTGCGAGCGAGCCTGTGTACCAACCCACTGAGCCCAAGCTTGGTGGTTTGCGCTGCAAGGACACACCATCAGAGTATTCCACTTTGGTGAACATCGGCAGAACGCGGCCAGTCAAGGTTCTTCCCGTCTTCCGCTGGTACAGCAATGAGCCAACCATTACTCCCAGACCCGGCTTCGTTATCCTTGGCCTTCACGCTTACAGGGAGGCTGATGTCATTGTTCTGCACCGGCTGTCAGACGTTGACACCGTTTGTCATGATCAGCTGGTGCTGGGCCCAGTGACCAGTGCACGTGCAGGTGTTAGGGACCGTGCGTAGTGATAATTTCGGACCGGACCAAGTCCGCCAAGGCCTTGGCTCTTGTCCACTGCTATGGTCTCGGAAAGATTCTCACAGACAAGCAGGATATGGTCGCATTCATGGACAAGCCTGCAGCCGCACAGGAGCATCCGATGTTGTGCTTTGCCGCCTCTGCCCGCAGTAAATTGCTGGGTATTCAGCTTCACCGTGAGTTGCCGCAGCTCCTTGCTTGCATGAGGCCGGTGCACATGCTCACACAGACCATATCCTGCAGCATGTCCTGAGCATCATGGACTGAGGTGCCGTTTCTTTGAGGAGGCTCTGCAGGCTTGTGCCAAGACTTGGAACTCCAAGTGGCTTGTTGCTCTTGGCCAGCTTGATCTGCCGAAATGCAGCAAGAGAAGATCCATTGTGACAATACGAACACGTGCGGATCTGTGGACTTTTCTGAGGTCAGTCAGGGTGCTGCTGCGGAAGCGCAGCTTGCGTGCTGGCCCAGTCATGATGAAGTCGTTGAAGAAGTAAGAGTTTGTGACCGCACCAGCCGGTGATGAATCTACACAATGTAGGGGACTCGATTGTGAAGAGGGGTTTCTGCTTTCTGGTCCCAGAGGAATACGGTGCCAGATGGTACCAACCAGGGGTCTATTGCGCTGGGAAAAAAGTGCCTGAATACACTTCACTGCAGAAAGCATATGCGGCAGTGAACGACAGCGGCCATTACACGTCCGGTTGGTACCAACCGGGGGGTTATTGTTGCGGGAATTTCCCAGGCCAATACACTTCATCCTCGTTTAAGACTGCCGCAGTAGGTTTGCTGAGTCCAAAACTCGGCGCGTACAAACCAAAGTGCCCTTCCAACTGAAGGGTCAAATCACCAGTTTGAAGGGTCATTTGGGCGACCGTGTGGCATACTTAGCAGACATGATGGCTGAGTGTTGCTGACCCTTCAACCGTGCTCCGGGACCCTTCAGATTGGACTTTTCCGAAGAATCATGTTTGAAGGGTGTTTCTTGCAGACTGAAGGGTGCTTGAGCAGTCTCATCTTCTACCGGGGCCGAAGCTGTAAGCTGCATATCAAGCAAGCCACTCCAGGTCCCCAGGTCCTCAGGTCCCGGGTCCCAATGGCGTGGTCATCTGTCGGCTATCTCGCATTAACAACTGCTGAATTGAGCCGCTTGAGACGCGAGTATCTAGCCAGTTTGTTTCAGGACAGTCCTGCGACGACCTTGACTTTCCCTAACTTCTGGGTGGAGTCTGCCAAGAAGGCCATGGCCTGGGCACGCAGGGATCAAGTCATTCAGGTCGGCGGGGCACCGTCCCAGAGCGAGAAGGCAGTGACGCATCGTCTTCGAACTGCTGCCCAGCAGCTCAAGACTGCCATTGGGTGCACCAACTATGTCATCCTTCAGTTGCAGACCAAAGACAACGTCGCGGATGCGATCTCTCGTGGAGACTTGCTTCTTGAGGAGCTGGGTGAAGAGGGCGACACTGTCTATGTGGTTTCCTCCTGGTTCTCGCTGTTTCAAGAAATGCCGTTCCAGAACAAGTCCAAGTGGATGTTGACCATTGAGTTGCTTGCCTGCACTTTGGTTTGCAGTGATTCATGGCCGTAGATTTTCCAAGCCGCTGCAGTGGTCTGCCCGCGCACAGGAGATGCACGCTCCTTCCCCAGATCGATATTTCATCTTGGACTTTGCTGCACCGCAAGTTCATGGTAGAATTCAGCTTGGGGCCACCGCTTGCCTTTACGTATTTTGTGGCAGTCCCAGTGCCCGACAAAGAGAATGGTGAAAGTGTCGACCTGTCCGAGCAGGACACCCGGCCTCTGCTGGCTTGCTTGGCTCGCAATTTCGTTGCTGCAGGGTGTGAGAACCCATTTATCCCGGAGGTCCACCCGGGCCCGGTGTTTCCATTGTGTTCCTCCAGCACAGCAGCGATGGGCGTGGGTTTCTTTGCTTACGAGACTGAGCATCTTGCACTCCTGGAGATGAGTGTGCCGCAGCTGCTGCAGAAGAAGGCCCCAATTGACCACCCTCTTGGAAGCTTCTGGCTCTTGCCAGCTGCCGTTGCCTGGGAGAAGGTCAGATTTGGCGACATGATTGTGCGCCGGGCGGCCTGCCGTATGACCCAAACAACCACGCAAGATGCGGTGCCGATGTGCAAGCTGATCCAAGAAGCCCAGGCAGTGC